ATTGTTATCATTAATAATATCATTACAGTAAGTCCCCAACTTAAGAACATAATGGGGACCGAGAGGCTGTTTGTAAGTTGATTTGTTTGCATGTTGAAAGTTGGGTCTCAATTACCTTTTGTTCCCATTGTTTTAAAGTTTTGTTTACATTAAGAATACCTGCAAATAAATCCCAATAAGTACGACATACCTTATACAGTACCAGACTCTTGAACTATAATTTGAAATTTGAAGTTTTCTAGCATCTTTCAAACATTTTTTTGGACTTTAGTACTTAAAAAAAATTGTTTGTATGTATGGAATGTTCATAAGTAGAATGTTCTTAAGTAGGGGACTATCTGTATTATTATTATTATCCTTCTCCTTCTTCTTCTTCTTCAACTTCTTCTTTTTCTTCATCATCTTCTCCTTCTCCTTGTCCTTCTTTCTCTTCCTCTTCTTCAACTTCTTCACCTTCTCCTTCTTCTTCAATTTCTCTTTCTTCATCATCCTATTCACCTTCTCCTTCTTCTCATTCTCCTCCTCCTTCTTCTTCTCCTCCTCCTTCTTCTTCTCCTTCTCCTCCTTCTTCTCCTTCTCCTCCTCCTTCTTCTTCTCCTTCTTCTTCTTCTTCTCCTTCTCCTTCTCCTCCTCCTTCTTCTTCTCCTTCTTCTTCTTCTTCTCCTTCTCCTCCTTCTTCATCTTCTCCTCCTCCTTCTTCTTCTTCTTCTTCTCCTTCTTCATCATCATCTCCTCCTAAACCCAACCCAACCTCCCTGTATAACACACACACTAACCCCTCCCCCCCCCTTGTCCTTTGCAGGTGATTTCTCATGGCGTCTTCGTGTTGCCAGAAGACGGAGCGATCTTCGACCTCGACCTCCTTCAGGATCACCCTCTCCTTAACCGGATCTCGGAGTGGGATTATCCGATTTTCGATCTCCAGGATATGGCAAGCAACTTAATACTCAGTCAGGTGTGTTTTTTTGTTTTGTTTTTTTATTATTATTGTTATTTTTTTATTATTATTATTATTATCATATTTTTTAAATTGTTATTATTATTTACTTTTTGTATTTATTTATTTATTTTTATGGGATTACTGTTGGTCTTATGGCAGGCAACTTAATACTCAGTCAGGTGTGTTTTTTTTTCTTTTTATTGTTATTATTTTTTTTCTTTTCTTTTCTTTTCTTTTCTTTTTCTCTTTTTTATGGGATTACTGTTGGTCTTATGGCAGCAACTTAATATTCAGTCAGGTGTGTTTTTATTTTTTATTTTTTTCTATTATTATTTTTATTATTTTTTTTATTATTATTACTATATATATATATATTTTTTTTTTTTTTTCCATGGGATTACTGTTGGTCTTATGGCAGGCAACTTAATACTCAGTCAGGTGTGTTTTTTTTTTATTCATTTTTTTCTGTTATTATTTTATTATTATTATTATTATTATTATTATTTTATTATTATTATTAATTTTTATTTATCTTTTTTTTTTTTTTTTTATGGGATTACTGTTGGTCTTATGGCAGGCAACTTAATACTCAGTCAGGTGTGTTTTTTTTTATTTTGATTTATTTTTTTCTGTTATTATTATTTTATTATTATTATTATTATTATTATTATTAATTTTTATTATTGTTATCATTTCATGGGATTACTGTTGGTTTTATGGCAGGAAACTTAATACTCAGTCAGGTGTGTGTGTGTGTATTTTTTTTTTTTTTTTTTTTGGGGGGGGGTTGCTGTTGGTCTCAGCTGTTGAGGTGGTGATCGTATGGGAGGATCGTATGGGGGGGGGGCAATGGGGAGTCGGCGAGTTCAGGAGTATCTTGTGTTTCTTCCCTCTTGCTCCTTCCCCTCGTTTTGCTCCACTTTTTGCTCCTCCTCCTCCTTCGTCTTGCCCCTCCTTTTGCCCCTCCTCCTCCCTCTTATTCCACCCTTTGCTCCTCCCTTTGCCCCTCCTCCTCCTTCTTGCTACTCCCTTTGCTCCTCCACCTGCCCCTCCTCCTCCCCTGGCCTTCCTCTTACCCCTCCTCCACATACCCCTCCCCCTGACCATCCCCTAACCCCTCCCCCTGCGCCATCTCCTCTGTTTCCTCTCCTTGACCCTCCCCTTTCCTCTCCCTTCGCTCCTTCCCTTCGCTCCTCCCCTCGGCCCTCCCTTTGGCCTTACCTTTGTCCCTCCCCTCGGCCCTCCCTTCGCTCTTCCCTTCCCTCCTCCCCTTTCCCCTCCCTTCGCTCCTCCCTTCGCTCCTCCCCTCGGCCCTCCCTTTGGCCTTACCTTTGCCCCTCCCCTCGGCCCTCCCTTCGCTCCTCCCTTCGCTCCTCCCCTCGGCCCTCCCTTTGGCCTTACCTTTGCCCCTCTCCTTGCCTCATTTCCCCTTGTTGCTTTCAGTCAAAGATAGCAATATATGTATCCATGTTAAAACTACAAAGCATATGTTAACACTAAATCTTTTTTTTCTTTTTTTTACTGAAGAAATGTTATCAATCGGATTTTTCCAGAGTACCGATTGAGTTTCCAGTTAGCCATTTCCTTACCCATTTGCAGAGGCTGACATTGAGTGACATTGTTGTTATTATAGAAGGCTTGACATTGGCATAGGGATTGCGTTAATTACTGGGGAAATTCTCATTGATAATCATAAATCATTGAAATTTGCTTTGTCTTTGAAATGAAAATTTAATGAAACATTTAGGAAGATTCTCATAGATAATTATAAATGATTTTTCTTCTTCTTCTTTTTCCTCTTCTTCTTCTATTTGGTTACATTTTACACGCCAAGGAATTGCTGAAGTTTGAGTAGATGAACACCAATTATGATATTATTAAATATTTATAGAGCCTAAGATGATATCAAACCAATCTAGATTTTTGATAGATGCTGTGAAGACGTCATGTTTATCTTTTATTTTATCTTATTTTTTTATTATGGCAATTCATCCACTCATCATATAAATAAAAAATCTCAACGATAACTTACTTCCTTTATACGTAACAATTCCTTTTCTCTTCATGTCTCTCTTTATCTTTTTCTTTTCTTTGCTTAACCAATCCTTTTCTTTCCACAGCTGTGTTATCAAGTGTTTTCCGAAGTCGGGCTTTTTGAGACCTTCAAGATCCCGACGAAGGAGTTCCTCAGCTACTTCCACGCTCTAGAACTCGGATACAGAGAGATCCCTTGTGAGTTTATTTTGGTTTGCTCTTTCTTTACATATATATGTGTGTGTGTGTGTGTGTGTGTGTGTGTGTGTGTGTGTGTGTGTGTGTGTATGTGTGTGTGTGTGTGTGTTTATCTTTTTATAACAAGAGAAATAATAATAATAATAATAATAATAATGATAATAATAATAATAATAATAATAGTACTAGCAGCAATGAATAGATAAATTAATAAATAAACAGATAATGATAATAATAATGATAATAATAATAATAATAATAGTACTAGTAGTAATGAATAGATAAATTAATAAATAAACAGATAATGATAATAATAATAATAATAATAATAATAATAATAATAATAGTAATAGTAGTAGTAATGAATAGACAAATAAATAAATAAAACAGATATAAAACCCGAACCACCACCCCCCACCTCCCCCTACAGACTCGTCCGCCGCAAAACTCCAAGAACCTTCCTATAATCTTTCCGTCTTTCTCTCGCCACAGATCACAACAGAACTCACGCATCCGATGTTCTGCACTCTGTCTACTACCTCACTTCCCAACCCATTCCCGGCTTCATCATGCTGCCTCCTGAACCGGTCTCGCCAACGGACAAGCACGGTGAGGACAGAGTGTGTGGGTGTTTGTATAATGTATAGATGTATAGATAGATAGATAGAAATGTAGATGCACATTATATATATATATATATATATATATATATATATATATATATATATATATATATATATATATATATATATATATATATATATATATATATATATATATATATATACACCCAAACACACACATATGTATATTTACATTTATAATTGTGAATATATATATGTAAATATATATATATTCATATATATATACATACATATATATATATATATATATATATATATATATATATATATATATATATATATATATATATGAATATATATGTATATATATTTATATATATATATATGTATGTATATACGCAAGGAGACACGTATATATGTGTGCGTATATATATATATATATATATATATATATATATATATATATATATATATATATATATATATATATATATATATATATATATATGTATATATATATAATATAATATATATATATATATATATATATATATATATATATATATATATATATATATATATATATATATATATATACATATATATATATATATATATATACATATAAATAATATATATATATATATATATATATATATATATATATATATATATATATATATATATATATATATATATATATATATATATATATATATATATATATATATATATATATATATATATATATATATATATATATATATATAATATAAATATATATATATATATATATATATATATATATATATATATATATATATATATATATATATATACATATATATACATATATATATATATATATATATATATATATATATATATATATATATATATATATATGTATATATATATATATATATATATATATATATATATATATATATATATATACATATATATATATATATATATACATATATATATATATATATATATATATATATATATATATATATATATACATATATATATATATATATATATATATATATATATATATATATATATGTGTGTGTGTGTGTGTGTGTGTGTGTGTGTGTGTGTGTGTGTGTGTGTACATATATATATATATATATATATATATATATATATATATATATATATATATATATATATATATATATATAACATACAGGTGTGTGTGTACATATATATATATATATATATATATATATATA